GCCCGCGGGTATCCCCGGCCGCCCTTCCGTGTCCCGGGCAGGTCTGAGCCTGGGGGGCGGGCGGGTGGGGGTCCCCGGCCGCCCGGGCCGCTCACCGCGCGCCGCGCCCGCAGCCGCGCTCCGGAGCCATGGCCCTGGGCGAGCTGGCGCCGCTGCGCTGGCTGCAGGAGAGCCGCCACTCGCGGAAGCTCATCTTGTTCATCGTGTTCCTGGCGCTGCTGCTGGACAACATGCTGCTCACCGTCGTGGGTACGTACGCACTGGGCGGCTCTCCCCGGGCACCCCTTCCCTGGACGCCCCACTTACCCCAGCGCGGTCCGAGCTCCGCTAAGGCTCGGGAAAGTTGGAGAACACGCTTTGCCAGAAACATTTCCCCTGGAGATGACCGCGCCCGGAGGGGCTGCGCTCGAGCCTTCGCTTTCCTGGTGGTCAGGTCAAAAACTGTGCCGTGCAGTGAGCAACAGAACTTGTGTTTCCTCCTGATAATTTCCCACTTCCTCTTGCCCACTTTCACGGCGATGAAAAAGATTTCTATTACAGAGGAGCAATTCTCAGAGTTCAAAATAATGTCTTAGAACAATTATCATGCTACCCGAAAAAGCGGGTTAATAATTTAGTGCAACACCAGAAGACACCAGTCACTATTCTCTCCCAAAACGGAAACGACATTTGAATGAATTAGTGAAGGACTTGAGATAGAAGCATTTCAGGAACCATTGCAAAAGCAGTTGGAACAATTATTGCTTTTATCCCTTTTCCTATAATGGGTTTTAAAAATGCAATACTAAATAATTGAAATCCAGGTCTCTTAATTAACCCCTTTAGCAGAAACGTATTTGACACGATTTTCCTTTAAAAATCCCAGTTTTTTGTTTGTTTTGTTTTGTTTTTGAGTTGGAGTCCTTGTCTCCCAGGCTGGAGTGCAGTGACACAATCATGGCTCACTGCAGTTTCAGCCTTCTGGGCTCAGATGAAGCTCCCACCTCAGGCTCCTGAGTAGCTGAGACTACAGAGACATGTCACCACTCCCTGCTAATTTTTTTTTTTTAATTTTTGAGACAAAGTCTAGCTATGTTGTCCAGGCTGATTTTGAACTCCTGGGCTCAAGCAGTCCTTCAACCCTGCCCTCCTAAAGTGCTGGGATTACCAGCATGAGCCTCCACTCCCAGCCTTCAGTTTTTAATGAATAAAGAAATTATTTTTCATCTAGACTCAGTGGTGGGTGTAATTTTCTTTCTCTCCATTTGCAGGTTCTCTCAGGATAGTTTTCGGAGCATCAGATAGTCAGGTTTTTGCCTTAAGAAGTAGCAGAGCTGTGTTCAGTAACAAGGGCCTCGGTTCTCCTCTGGCTTGAATTTGTTACACAAACCTTCTATCATATATTAAACAGTTTTGTTTTTCTTTTAGGGAATTCTTAAATGTTACAGGTTGTATGAAAAATTGCAGATTCCCATTCACATAATGGAAAGCTGAGGTGGGCCTGAGGCAGAATTTCTAAATTGACTTCCTAAAGGTTTATTGTTTTCTAAGACATAATGAAATTTAGACTTCTATTTCCTTAATTTACTTAAAAGTCTTTTGAACCTCTCTTTCTGAGAGGTACTGGTTGACCCCAGGTCAGCACTTACTTGACTTCAGATCACATTTTGCTTTTCTAAAACATTCTTTGAAGGAACTGTGTGGCCCAAACCCCGCCAGTGACAAAATCTCTGGGACCAGTCAGTTCAGCCTAGCAGCTGCCCCTGAGAGCAGATGGTACTCAGAGCCCCGTGGACTCTGTTTCCTTTGTGAACTGAGGTGAAATTACTGTGGTGTCAGTGCTGGCATCAGACACTGGGGTCCCATTCCTGGGGCAGACGTGCCTCGTCTCTGGGCCTCTTTTGATACCACCGTAGCTTTGCTGACTTTTGTCCCAGAGAGGGTTTCGGTGTGATCACCACCTTGCTATTCTGCTCTTGTCCCCAGTCCCCATCATCCCAAGCTACCTGTACAGCATTAAACATGAGAAAAATGCTACAGAAATCCAGACTGCCAGGCCAGTGCTCTCAGCCTCCACCTCGGACAGCTTCCAGAGCATCTTTTCCTATTATGACAACTCTACCATGGTCACCGGGAATGCCACTGGAGACCTGCAGGGGAGGCAGCTGCATGAGACCACCACACAGCACATGGTGATCAACACGTCCGCCACCCCTTCCGACTGTCCCAGCGAAGACAAAGATCTCCTGAATGAAAATGTACAGGTTGGCCTGCTGTTTGCCTCGAAAGCCACCGTCCAACTCCTCACCAACCCTTTCATAGGACTGCTGACCAACAGGTAGAGTAGACGGCTTTAGTCAGAGTTTTATGTCTGTTTGATCCCAAGCTCATGCTTCCCACCACCCACCCCTGGAATTCTGCTCTTATTAATTTATTAGAACCTATACAAGCCCTGGTGGGTGAGCTGTCTCCTTCCCCTTATGTCTCTGACCGCTGATCTGTTCCACCTTTCCATTCTCTCCTCTGTAGCTCCACAAGCAAGAAAAATATTTAAGAAGACAGAATAAGGAGGACCTCCCCAAGTGGGAGAACTTGAGTGTGTCTAAATGTCGGGTTTCATAAGTACATTATCAGACTTGCCCTTGGGCTGTGGGAACTCTGCAGCCATGACTCTGTCACTGGATTTTCTTATTTCCCATATCTGGTCATGCACTTCCTTGTAGAAAGCCAAGGTGGCTTCTTTTAGAGTTGGTAAAGGCTCTGGTAAATGACCAGGTAGGGACTGTGGGGAAAGGTTTGGGAATACTGCTGCACAGATGAAAATCTGAGCTATGCTCTTTCCTTTCTGCTGGTGACTTGGCCGTGTCCATTTGCACAAAGAGAAGAGAATTGAGGCTATTGTCCAGATCATCTAAGCTGCCCCAGTTAACTTTATATTAGTCTGCTGTTCAAGGCTTTTTGAATCCACATTACTTGGAATAATTGCTTCCTTCTCCGTTGTCCGTGACCATTTAGCAAGTCTCTGTTCTTCTACAGCTGAGATGACTCCATTCTGCTCAGTCTATGGCAGCTCAAAGCACAGGACAAGGGGCTTGCAGCTGAGGGAGGAGGCAGTCCCTGAAGGTGTTGAGTGAATTGGTGGTGGGCCACCAAGTGCACAGTATAAGCCCCCAGGCAAAAATACACAAATGGTAGCGAGAGGGGAGCCTGGAGTCTTACCTGCAGGCCAGGGCCAGAAGCAGCAACAAAGACCAGAGAGAGAAAAGAGAACTTGGTGGCGGGAGGGGTGAACTAAGGAGACAGGACTGGCAAGACTAGGACTAGGCCAGGCTGTCAGAAGCCTGAGTGTGAAACCAAGAGAGGAGTGGGATTCTGTGGCGGGGGGGTTGGGAACCACGAGGATTCCAAAGTCAAACAGAAGAATCAGTGAGTTAAGTACAGTTTTAATCAGGTCAACCCAGCAACCCCATTGAGCAGGGAGCACACAGGCCTTTTTATTTGCCAGTGCTTTGGTGTGGAAAGTGGGGAACAGGACCATTTTCTGTATAATTTGTGGGGCCCAGTGCAAAATAAGATGCAGCCCCCATGTTCAAATATTATTAAGCATTTCACGATAGCAACAACAGAGCGATAAACCAAGCACAGGGTCCTTCTGAGAGCAGAGCCCTGTGCAATTCTGGGATGGGGGATCTATGAGATGAGGAAGCCTGGGGTGGTGGTCAGAGCTCAGAGAGGGATGGCGGATCTTGCCTTAACCCAGCACAAGCTCTGCCTGGACACACAGCGATTGCTGCTCATACATACATGGTGAGCCTGACAGAACGCCATTCTCAACTTCTCTAGTATGCTTTTCTGAACTGAGTAGTGCCATTGAATCTATTTTAGCAATCCCAAACCATGTCCAGCCCTCCAGTCTGTGCAGAGCAATATTATAAGGCTGCCACATAAACTATGCTAAGCAAATTAACCCAGCCACAGGCTGACTGTGAGCCCTCCAAGAAGCATCATTATCAAGGTGACATTCAATGGCAACTCTGTTCTCAGGAGGAAAACCAAACAGACCTCAGTAGTTGCAGGATTGTGTTCTTTTTTCTTTCAAGACTAAGAGTGCTTCTTAAATTGCGTCTGGTATAATTATAGAAAATGGTTCGGGGTTTTGTATTCTGAGAAAGCAACAACTCAAATACTATACGTGAAAATTGAGGACATTATCATAATAACACCTTGCCAATCACTTGGGCAGAATGTTACTTACCACACAGTGTAGTACTTGGAAACTCAGCTAAAATGATGTGAATATTCCAATCTTCCAAATGCACACGGCAAATGAAAAGCTTTTTAAAAATCTCATGCTTGTTTTTAAGGCTTTGCTTATGCCATGGGGAAGAAGCTTGTTTAAAACCAGTGAGACCTTTTCTCCATTAAATACTCCAGATGCTTTGAGGTTGCAATCACCCAAGGCTCGTGTCTAGGGCTCCAAAAAAAAATTGTCTTCCAAGAGAAACCTAATTTTGTTTTTGGACTTGTAAAATTTAGTCTATGGAAATTATCTATCTGGAGCAAAATTTAAATCCCTAACTGCTTTGTGCAACTACCCAGCAAATTTTAAAATGATCATTGACTGAGTACAGTGGCTCATGCCTGTAAGTCCAGCGCTTTAGAAGGCTGAGGCAGGATGATCACTTGAGGCCAGGAGTTTGAGATCAACCTGGACAACATACTGAGACCCCGTTAAAAACAAACAAACAAAAAACCCAAACACACACAAAAAAGGTAGCTGGGCATGGTAGTACACACCTGTAGTCCCAGCTACTCAGAAGGCTGAGGCAGGAAGATCACTTGCTCCCAGGAGTTTGAAGCTGTAGTGAGTCCTACATCTTGTTGGCAACTGAGGATGTGATTGGCACAATTTACGTCAAAAGAGTATTTGCAATAACTCACAAGGCAAAAGTCCTTTCTCTGCTACTGTTTCTATCTGAACTGTGGTGGGAAGCCGTACATTCAGGTCAACCCAGGTCCATGGCGGCTCAAAGCACAGGACAAAGGGCTTGCAACTGAGGGTGGAGGCAGTCCCTGAAGGTGTTGAGTGAGTTGGTGGTGGGCCACCAAGTGCACAGTATAGGCCCCTAGGCAAACGTGCAAAATGGTAGAGAGAGGGGGAGCCTGGAGTCTTACCTGCAGACCAGGGCCAGAAGCAGCACTGAACTTCAGCCTGAGTGACAGAGTGAGACTGTCTCTGAAAAAAAGGGAAATGCAAATGAATTGTAATATTGATATTGATGTAGGCAAAACAATTGTGTAAACTCTGTTGTGCCTTCAAAATGATCATAATTTAATATTTTCCCAGCCTGGTGTATATGAATTTGAGGCCTTGTAGATCATCTGGGCACTTGAAGACTGCTTCCTACCACAGTTCAGATAGAAACAGTAGCAGAGAAAGGACAAATACAGTCCGTCTCCCTTTCTAGTGTTCCCTTGTGAGTCATTGTAAATATTCTTTTGCTGTAAATTGTGCCAATCACATCCTCAGTTGCCAATAAGATGTAGGACTCACATTTTCAGTGCTGTGAATAAGTGTGTTTAAAATGGCACTTTAAAGTTGGTTAATATGTTTCTGATTAAAGAGTAGTGAAAAACATCATATATACTCACATTTTCAGTGTTATAAACATGTGTGCTTAATATATTTTAAAGTCTGTTAATATACAGGGGGTGCCAAGAAGTGTATACACAATTTAAGTATGATATTTGCTTAAAAGATGGTGTTAATCGAATAAATGTTAGCGTCACCATGTGACAGGCAGCACAGTCAAAGAAAATGGCAGAAGCATGGTTGAGCAAACATCATACTACACATTGCTACCTTAATTCAATTTGACTTCGAAAAGTAATACATAGATAACATCTCTTAAAATGTGTACACATTTTTTTGGCACCCTCTATATTTCTGATTAGTTAAAAACACAGAGCATCAGAACTTGCAGAGACTTTTGCCAAAAGCTTTGGGCTAGTCCTAATATTTTATAAGCAAAGGAGTTTGAAGCTCATGAGGACAAAGCACTTGCTTATAGCAGTGGCAGGGCTATAGCCACGTTGGACTATCTCCTTTCAAGCTCCATTCTTACCCGCCTTCCTGTTCTTTCTATTTGTTACGATTTTGTACTGTTAGTCACGAAAAATAAAGAATACAAGTGTAAACATGATAGATCATATCTATAATCTCAGTGCTTTGGAAGCCTGAGGTGGGAGAATTACTTGAGTCCAGGAAATTAAGACTAGCCTGGGCAAGGTAACAAGACCCCATTTCTAAAAAAAATAAAAAGAATAAAAAATTGGTCAGGCATGGTAGTAGTTCCAACACTTTGGGAGACCAAGGCAGGAGGATTGCTTTAGCTCAGGAGTTTGAGGATACAGTGAGCTAGGATCACACCATTGCACTTTAGCCTGGGCCAACAGAGCCAAACCCTGTCTCTAAAAAAAAAGAAAAAAGAAAAAATGTGCAACTCAAAATCTGTCTTTCACACAATGACTTGGGCTCTTCTTGATTGTACCATGCTGAACTAGTAAAGGCCCAGACAGTGACTTCTGATTGCTATTTTTAATCAATGAGCAGGGATTTTAGAACAATTCTGATTTTGTGGCCTTGGAAAAGACAGTCTTTTTCAGCCCCTGATGTGATCTGGTCCAGCCTACTAATTCTCAAACACATGCGGGGAAGCTGCCCAGAGTCAGGCTAGGCAGAGCATTCCTTTCTAAAGTCGCTTGTCTTCTGAAGTGGGACCCACTCTGACACAAGACATGCTACAGTGCACATGCCACACCTGGACACCTGCATTCATGGTCATGATGATGCCATGTGGGTGGCTTTGTTGGAAAGCTGACACAAAAAGGTAGGCTGCCTGCCTGTTGTTTGAAATATCAGATAAGGTCTCATACCAAACCCTGAAAAGGAAAAGTAATAATTCTTGGGAAGTGTTTAGGTGTTCATTTGGCTGGTAATATGATACACGTTATTCCTGTTTTATTCTTAAGGTACTATATTTTTTACTGAAAATATGTGACCAGATAGGGATCAGAGGCCTTTGATTTTGGCATGCATGGTGATCACATACCCAATAACACACTTTTCAACAAAGTTCTAGAATGCCTGGGTTGGCTTGATTTTCATCTTAGAGGCTCTTGAGACTTATTTTTGTAATTCCAGTTGGACTAATCATTTCATGATTGCAGTTGTGTGTAAAGGTGGTAGCAGGAATTATACCAGTGACACATGTAATTGTTTGGTCCAGTAAGTGAATTTTAGACACGTGCATGAAAGGAATGCCCCGGACAAATGAGCAGTGTGAAACATCTTTACATGATTCTCTTCCATAGTCAGGTAAAGATGTGGCATCAATGTCTCCACTTGTTTAGCATATGGTTTAAATGGTAGTTACAGCTTCAGAACAGAAAAATACTCCATACCAAATGACTGGCTTGATAAAGAGTTAACTTCATCGCTGGGCTGAGGACCATTTCCCTTGGCTTCCTCCTTAGCTTGTCATTGTCTTGGTGATCTGCTTTTTATCAAGCCAGCATCAGTGACTTAATTTATTTCCATAGTTACCTAGTATATTTTTAAGCAGTTCTTTTTCCTCACAAATCTTAGCTAACATCTGAAGGACAAGGAGGAAGCCATAAGGCATGATATCTCTACAAGATCTACGGTGATTATCTTTTTTTCTAGCTTCAGGCAGAGGGTCTGAAGTGGGACTTGTAGGAAGAAGCAATGACCTTTTCAGCTTCTCTGTGGCAGGGAAACCAGCTGTTCTGGAAAGGGATCTCCCGTCCTTGCCATTGTTAAGATGGTAGGAAGGGTTTGATGAGTCTTCTGAAATCAGAAGAAACTGGCAGTGGAATTTGAGTCTTTCTCATGGGAGCAAAGGCTTCACTTGAGTTGTGTGTCAGAGAACAGGGCTTACATTCAGGAAAGTGAGAAATCCGTAGCCTACGGAACTCTCTGTTAGCCACAAGGACAGGCAAGCCCAAAGGCAAAGATTTTTTTTTTTTCCTTGAGTCAGAATCTCACTCTGTTGCCCTGGCTGGAATGCAGTGGCATGATCACAGCTCACTGTAGCCTCGACCTCCTGTACTCGGGCAATTCATCCTGAGTCTCGGTCTCCTGAGTAACCGGGACTACATGTGCGTGCCAGCATGCTCAGCTAATTTTTATACTTTTTGTAGAGATGAGGTCTGGCTATGTTGCCCAGGCTGGTCTCAAACTCCTAGGCTCAAGTAATCTTCTTGCCTCGGTCTCCCAAAGTGCTTGGATTACAGGTGTGAGCTACCCTACCCAGCCAGAATTTTTTTTAATGTGCTAAATGATTGAAAAACTTCCTGTTATGGCCAAGCGAGTTAAAAATGTTCCATTTACTGACATCTGTTTTCTATGCCACATTTTAGGAGTGTGTTGAGATCATTGAAAGGGAGACATTACCTCTTGTTCCGTCTGATGATGGTTTGCACCCTACTGGGCCCCTTACTTTGTGCCCTCCCTTTTGTCATTTACCATGGCAGAAGGAACTGTCGTCTTAGTAGTCCTGAGAATAGAGCTTGCATTAGTCTTTATGGCAAAGATGAACTAGTTATTAGCATTAATGAAAAAGTATTATTGTTGGTGGCTATTTAGAGACATATGGAGTTTCTCCACTGACTATCTAGGTATATTTGATGTAACTTTTATTGTTTTAAATGTTTTTCTAGGGATTCAATAGGTGACTTTTAGTCTCGCTCAAATTGGATTAACTGCTCTCTGAAGCTCTATAGAGGATGGTCATGGGCTGTGGTGACTCACAGGGGATGATAATGGAACCTTTGGTTAAAGGTTTGCTGAATCAGATCCAGCTCTGCTTAGCAATGCTTTACTTGAGATGGCATTGAATTGAGAGAAGAGGGCCAGCTTGCATGTAGATTATGACTAATGTGAGTTGAGTTTCCGTCCATTTAGGAGATACTGTGGGGAAGGAGAAAGGTGTTGGCTTTCTGCCTCCCACCCAGTGACCCTGGGGCATTGGATTACCTCCCTTCTGTGGTGGGGACTCACAGGGCCAGAAGAGTTTGAGAGAGGTGGTGCAGCAACTGCCACATTGTGTCTTGTTTGCTTTGATGCCGAGCTCGGGGGAAAGATGATGCTTGGCGTGTACCACCGTGCGGCATCATCATGGCTTGTCCAGCATTGAAAGCGCAGGCATTGGCATATCTGGTAATGAGAGGGCAGCAACATGAGGCCAGTTGCATCTGAAGCCATTGGTAACCAGAGTGAGCCACTCCATCTCTGAACCTCAGCGTTCTCATCTAAGGTGAAGATTGGGACTGGCCAGCCTTGAGTTTCCTTCCAACTTTGCCATTTGGTTATTCCATACACACTTTGTTAAAATCCCAAAGGAATTAAACAAACAAACAGTAGCTGCAATGTTTCTAAAGAAAACACAGCACCTGGAACAGTGAAAAGAACTCTCTGTAGGCACACAGCCCTGTGGTTTACAATGAATCTGTGCACCCTCCATCCCACGTGCTCCTGTGACTGGTGACCTCATCCAAGTGTAGGCCAGCAGGGCCCGACACACACTAGACACTCAAGATATGCCCGTTGCCTTGGATATGGGGCAAATAATTTACCTTCCCTGAGCCTCAGTGTGTTGGCCTGCTGAAAGACAAGGATGAATCCAGCTACTGCAGTGAGATGAACTGCAATGAGAATCCCAGGCCACACTGCAAGCTGGTTCCTTACTTACAGTCATGGGGAATGCCCAAGTCTTCTGGTAAGGGATGCCTCAGTATCTTTTCACCTATCCCAGCTGTGCCCTGCCAGGTTACCTCAGTCACTGGCCAGACTGCACATTGGATATAGTATGGCTCATGATTTGGGAGCCACAGACAGGGCCACCCACCCAGTGCTTCTGCCTGCAGTGTAGGAAGGGACCACAGATGTCCTATTTGGCTTCAGGGATGCCCCTGGGGCCAGAAGGGATCCTTATTAGAGTCTTATAAATAATTAAAATGAAGAACTAGTGGAGATGTAGGCTCTAAATTTCAACAGCTTTGACACGTATATTAGCACTTCAGCTACTAGATTTTCTAGTATGTTTTGAGAGGGATGAGAAGCCTGTGTTTATTCCAGGGTAGCTAGGGGCACTGTCATATGCCTGTTCTTTCATGAGATGCGCCATAGTGGCTGAACATAAAATGCCTGTGCGTTGTCTCCTCGGAGTCTCCTGGACATTTCCTTACTTAGTACCCAGCAGTGCTGTGTAAGACTCCAGTGGTGGGTTTCTTTTGCCTACATGAATATGGAGCACAGAGCAGTTACCTCGGGACTGGTAGAGATAGGAGAAGCTACCATCTGATGGCCATCTGAACTGCACTTCAGAGTCCCGGTGTCTTTCCTGGTTTACCCCATGACTTGGAGCCCCCTTGTGAGTTGCAAGCTCATTTCTGTTCGCAGAAGGAAAATCTTTGCATGACTTGTGGGAAAGGATTGACTACCTGGGAATCGGTCATGATTTTTAGATGTTATTTGCATTTTTGATATTTGGTTTCTGGATGTAGGTGAAGCAGTTAAAAACAATATGAGTGTGGCCAGGAGAACTTCTGGAAGGATTCTATTAAAAGTCACATATGTCCTTTGGCTACCTGGGGCTGGAGAGTGATAAAGTTTGCAAGAAAAAGCCCTGGACTGGAGGAAATGACCCCAGGGAAACTGGCCTGATGACATTTAGCAAGTACCTTTTTCATACCTTAGCCTCCTCATCTGTAAAATAGAGAAGTGAAATAGGGCCCTTGTCAAATCTATTGAGCTGGTGAAGGTAAGTTGAGTGTAACCTTTACATGAAAGTGTTGTGATGATGGTTGTTTATTTTTTATTTTTATTTTTTGAGTTGGAGTCTCACTCTGTCGCCCAGACTGGAGTGCAGTGGCCGCTCCCGGCCACCGCAGCCTCAACCTGCTGGGCTCCGGCGATCCTTCCGCCTCAGCCTTCCAAGTAGCTGGAACTACAGGCATGCGCTACCACACCCGGCTAATTTTTTATTTATTGTAGAGATGAGGTCTCGCCAAGTGGTCCAGGCGGGTCTCGAACCCGCGGGCTCAGGCAATTCACTCACCTCAGCCTCCCATATGGTTGTTTATTAAAACCTGGAATAAAAGAGCCCTTCCAAGCTGGGACTTGGGACACGGGGCCCTTCTGGCTTCCTGGGTTCATTTGATTCCTCTGCATGGATCCAAGGTCTAAGGGCTGGAGAGTGAAGAGGCTTGGAGACATTCTGGGCTCTTCTGAGTTGGAGCAAACTTGCAATTGGGCAGTAGCTCAGCCAGTGTTGCCCCCACTCAGGTCAGAGGGGCCAAGAAACTGCCTGCACTGTCATACCCTCTCCATAGAGCACGAACCAAGTTGTCTGTTCGATTCAGCAGAAGCAGAGGGAAAAGAACGAGGAGAATGAGGGAGAAAATAAAATTTCAGTGGCATCTTCTATCCTTAGGCACTCTCGTAGGCTGTTTGACACCCACATCTGTTTCTATACTTCAGTCCTGGTGGGTGGCAGCAGTCTCTCTGTGAGGCCAGGAGGAGACTTCCCTGGGTTATGTGGCAAGGCTGGGTGTCCAACCAGACATGGGAATGGGACACAGGGAGGCGAGGGTCTTCCCACTGCCCCTGTTGGCCTGATGCCAGAGCCAGGCAGGCAGGGGTCTCATGGAGCAATTCAGATTTTGAACTTTTACACAGAAAATGAGACCCATCTTTCTAGGCAGGCCTCATGGAGTCAACAGGAAGGCAGATTTTAAAATTTTGTTTCTTACTGCCTCTTAGACATAGTGCAGCTGTCAGTTGGATCACTCGATGGCCTTTTGCCAGAATCATTTGATTGCAATTGTTCCTTTGGGGAAATTCTAGCAAAGACTATAATTAAAGGAATACTTTTTTTTAATATGACGGAAATAGGGGCCGTGTATTTTGGATGTGTCCTGAGTTACTTGCCAATATTGTGTTAACATTTATTTCAGAGAAATTTCTGTTCCAAATGGCAGCCCATAAATGTATTCACGTTCCAAGACAGTCAAACACAAAAAGGTCATGTAGGAAGCACCAAGTATATGAATTTTTAGAAAAGTTCACCAAACACTTATTCGCCTGATCCCAAAGGGTAACCAGGAGAGAATCAATATAAAATCTAAAAAAATACCTAGCAGTCATCAGGTTTTTCTTGTGCTTGTGTTTTGCAGAATTGGCTATCCAATTCCCATGTTTGCCGGATTCTGCATCATGTTTGTCTCAACACTTAGTAAGTGTCTGATGTTTGCTGTCCACTTGTTGGGTCTCAGGATGGGTGCTGTCGCCCGCGAGCCAGAAATAAAGAATGCCACCTGGGGGTTTGTATGTTGTCAACAACTGCAGAGAGAGGTCTTCACGGAGCAAAAGCACAATTGTGATTAACATGGAAATGCTTCATCAGGTTAAGGGAGGGCTTCGGAAAAGTCCCTGTTGGGACTTTTGGGGACAGTGTGGTCCTGACGGCACTGATGTGTGGTCCTGGACCTCTTCTCTTGGCAGTGTTCGCCTTCTCCAGCAGCTACGCCTTCCTGCTGATTGCCAGGTCCCTGCAGGGCATTGGTTCCTCCTGCTCATCTGTAGCTGGTAGGTATGGGAGCATCTAAATCAGTGACAGGAGGGGCTCAGGCTGTTGGAGCGGGGGTGGGGTGGTGGTGGTGTGAGGAGCCCTCACAGAGTCGCCTGAAAAATCCAGGGACTCAAGGTCTTGGTGGTGGGTATTCTCAGAGGAGGTGTCACCTTTCTCTTGGGTTCAGCTTGGTCTTATATTTGAGTTACTCTGACTGGTTTGGGAAGATCATAAGCCTGGCTGGAGAGGGAGGGCGAGTTACAGGTTATTCTGAGCTTGGCAGCTGACCTTTTCTTTCCCTGTGTAGGGATGGGCATGCTCGCCAGCGTGTACACAGATGATGAAGAGAGAGGCAACGCCATGGGGATTGCCTTGGGAGGCCTGGCCATGGGAGTCTTAGGTGGGTCAGGTCCCCTGAGTAGGAGAACCAGCAGTTACCTGCCTGGAACTGGACAGCTGCAGTCCTTGCCCTGCGATCCTGGCTGTGGTGGGGTTGAGTCCATGTTCACGCTGACATACTCCCCAGAAACCCTCTATTTCCTACTTCCATGGAGACTTTGAAAAGTGGTGGGAAGAGTCTTGTCCTGGGAAGACCAGGGCTCTTTTCCCGACTTCTGCCCCAAGCTTCCGTGGGCCCAGATGGAAAACAAAGGGTTGAACAGGACAGTCTGCTAGAGCTTTCATCTTGAACATTCTGTGAGTTATGATCAGGAGAACTTTCCGGCCTTCCGGGTCTGGCTGACCTCCCAGACCAGGACACAGATATCTTCCCTGAGAGGAGATCTGGATTCTTTCCCTTTTAATCCCTGGCCTGCATTTTGGCGCCTGCACTTCCTACCTGTTTGTAAGGAATGAAGGCCCATTTACCCATCTTCCTGTACGACATAATCAGCACTGCCCTAGACCTGGATCTTGTTTCTCTCAAATCTTTGCTTTTAGGGTGACCCTTGTAGACTCTTGCCTGTTTCTTAGGTGAAAAGTCACTTGGAGGGAGTTTTCTTCTCTTTCTTTCTTTCTTTCTTTCTTTCTTTCTTTCTTTCTTTCTTTCTTTCTTTCTTTCTTTCTTTTTTTTTTTCGAAAGCAGGATTTATTGAGAGGACAGAAAAGCTCCCACAGTGGAAGGGGATCCAAGGGGATTGCCCGGAGGAAGCTTTCAATGCAACTTAACTCTGAATAGAATGTAGGGTGGTTACCCCAAATCTTTTTTGAAGCAAAGTAGAGAGAGAAACACAAGACAAAAATAGATGATGTTGGCATGAGGAGGGGACATCAATTTGGGGGGCTGACACTGGTTCCCCTTTCTCTTTCTGCAGTTGGTCCCCCCTTTGGGAGTGTCCTCTATGAGTTTGTGGGGAAGACAGCTCCGTTCCTGGTGCTGGCTGCCTTGGTGCTCTTGGATGGAGGTGAGTGCGTCCATATGGGTGCCTTTCTGTGACCGTGATGGAATGTGCTTGGGCTACACCTGCTTTCTGAAAAAGGGATTCTCTCTCTTTTTTTGTAGCTATTCAGCTCTTTGTGCTTCAGCCATCTCGGGTGCAGCCAGAGGTAAGCAGCTGGGAAACAAGGGTCCTGCAGGGACCATGTTGGCCATTCTGACTCTTGTTTTCACTTGACAGAGTCAGAAGGGAACACCCCTAACCACGCTGCTGAAGGACCCCTACATCCTCATCGCCGCAGGTGGGGCTCCCAGGGTCTTCTCGGTCATGGGTATGCGAGCTGCCAGTGTGTGGCCAGGCTGATATGATTTTGCTGCTGGGAATGTTGGACCGTAGAAAAACGGAAAAGGCAAAGAGGCTCTAAGTCACAGGAAATGTTGACTTCTGACACTCACCAAGGCCCTTTTGTTTTTCATTGGGAGCACATAAAAATAGTGGGCACTGGCTCTTCAGAGCTGTCTGGGTCCTGGGGATGCCCTGCTGCAGAGATTTGTTTTGAGCCAAGCTTGCTCACTGCGTGTGTGTCAAGACCATCATTGTTTGGTCTTGAACTCTCCGGAAGGAGTCCATGGCCTTGCAGCAGGAGTCTCAGGGGGCAGTCTGACTCACCCTGGATTGTATGAGTAGAGCTGACAGCAGAGCCCCAGAGGGCTCAGAGGGGCCTTCCTTCCTTTGGAGAGAGCATCCCTGCAGAGCAGCGGAGAGGCCACTGGAAATACTTTTTGGCTAAAGGTCACACTCTTAGGTTCTTGGCCTAAAAAAGCTAAAAGAAAGCCCTGGGGTTCTGTGGATTTTGGAAAGGATGATGGACTACATTCACCCAAGGGACTGTCCCCCCAAATTGTCCCAGTGGCAGCAGGCTGTTTGCTCCGCCAGGATTGGGGCTGCCTAACCAGGGACCAGCCTTGTACAAATGTACAAGGGTCAGCAGTTGCCCCTGGGGTCAGGCCAGGAGGAGGCCTGGCCGTGTGCTGATCATCTGGTCCTGGGGGCAGCCTGCAGTATAGCATCAGACCCAGCTAGGGCTCAATGTGTCTCTTCATGCAGTGGGACTCTGCAAGGCTCTCTGGAGGCCTGAGCATCTGAGGTGGGGGTGAGGAAGGTGTGGTGAGGGCGGGGGCTCCGGAATGTGACTTCTTGAACCTAGGCAGGGCTGTACAGCCTGGGCGTTTCCTGTCTTGGGCTTTCCCGGAACCTCACTGTCTAACCTGACTCAGGGAAGGAGATACAAAGATCTACCCACCCAACACTAACTGGCAGACTGTCCACAGTTCCAGGCAGCCTTGACTGGGAGCAAGGTAGAGCTGTCTGGGTCTTTAGCCAAAAAGTATTTCCAGTGGCCTCTCCGCTGCTCTGCAGGGATGCTCTCTCCAAAGGAAGGAAGGCCCCTCTGGGCCCTCTGGGGCTCTGCTGCCTAGTCATTTATATGGTCTGCCTTTACATGTCACATAGAATAAAAAAAAATTTTTCTTCATGTGTGCACCTTCATCACAGTTGTTCAGTGTTCTTTGAATTTGTTCTAGCAAAGTAGAGGTTCCACGAGACAAATTAGAGGTTCCTGTTCAGGAAGTTCCCAGAATGATGGAAAATAGTTCTGTGGATCTTTTTCCAGGTGTTCTATATTTACAAAGGGCTCTGGTTTATAGAGTGATAATGAATATTTGCATAGATATCCTTTAAGTAGAGTTGATTTTTAAAAAAAAAAAATCCTTCCACAGCACATGAGTGCTGAAGACATTGTGTTCTTGCCTGGATTTTCTGGCATCTAAGGGCTTCACTAGAAATGTCCGTGTTCCTTGCACAATAAAACATAGATGCAAAAGCCTCAGGTTGCCCCAAGACTCTGTGTGGTCTGGAAGTTGCCTGGCTTCTGGGTGGCTTCAAGCAGGTTACTTCATTAATAAATCAGAGTTCCCTTTCTTCATTAATACATTGGTAGATTAATCCAAATGATCTCTAAGGCTCCCTCTGGTTCCAAACTTTATGACTCTGGGATTCTAATTGTTTAAAATCATCATCATCATCACCAACAACCTTTGCTGTCCCCTTGCTATTTATCCTTTTCTTGCAAAAGTAGGAAAAGTTCTGGCTATCTATCTGTGCTGTGGGCACATGAGGTCTAGCTGTTTGGAAACAGTGGAGAAGGCAGAAGCACACTAACCCTCTTCCTTCCTTAAAGGCTCCATCTGCTTTGCAAACATGGCGATCGCCATGCTGGAGCCGGCCCTGCCCATCTGGATGATGGAGACCATGTGTTCCCGAAAGTGGCAGCTAGGTAAGTTCTGGTTTGAGAACTTTTGTCCCCAGGGCAGCCTTTGTCCCTAGTGTGTCCCTGCCGAGCTGCCTGAACCATGATGATGAAGTCATTTGTTCTGTTTGACTCCTAATAGGGTCATTGCTTAGGGCAGCCTTGGGGTCTGTTTTGACTCTGGTTTCTTCCTCATCCCCGACAGATGCAGAATTAATATAGTCACGTCAGATCTGGGCAGAGATGACAGAGAAAAATACAGTCAGCATCTTCCTATGTTTCTGAACTGGACTAATAAGATAGCAATAAAATTTATGTGGAAGAGACTAATGACAAACTTAGTTAAGAGGATGAATTTTTAAAAGCATTCTTAATTTAGAAAGGGAATACATGCTTATTATTATAAAAAATCAAAGTATGCTGGTTGAGAAAATAAACATTTAAAAATCTCATGTTCGTCTCTCCCCTGTGATAATTAACCATCCTGGGTATCTTTTTCCAGATGGTTCTGTATTTATCACCCTATGCATGAAATTCAACCAAGTGGAATTTTGCCATTTACATCACTGTGTAACCTCTTATTTTTCCTTCATGAGCTACTGTGACCATGTTTTTGTGTCAGAACATATAGATTTACTGTTCAAAACTAATTAAATTTTAATTTTTATCAAAGCTACACATACATAATTTTAAGTCAAGCAAAATTACAGAATTGTAATGAAAAAAAAACTATCTTGGCCCCATATCTCCTAATTCCCAAAATCCCTCCTCAGAGTTTATCACCTTCAAATCTTCTAGTTGTTTCTTCTACTAATATCCTTATGTCTCAAAATAATATGAGTACAATCTTTAAAGAAATTTTTCAGTTTCTGACATCATCCACCAGCTTTCTGATATGGTAGATGGGAGTTTAATGCCGTTACTGCACCACCTGAAAATATCAAACAACCAGCTCACACATTTTCTCACCTTCTGTCCTTCCAAAATAATTGCATTACAACTTTTTGTTAGATTATCATTCAGCATTGACATTATTGTGTCTGTGTAAATATTGTTCAAAGCTGAGCTACGTAGGGTACTATGATTAATTTCCTTTCTTTTTGCAAATTTATTTTTTCTGGAGTTAGTCATTGCCTTGTCTTTTCATTGTCTTAGATTTCTATGTAGTGTTTATGAATATATCTGCAAAAGTCTCTGGCAGAGATGAAAGGTCCGCCAAATGCAGTCAAGTGTATTAGCAAGCCCGACCTTTCCGTGTTTCTGCTTGTTTGTGGACATCTGTCCTAGGTCCCTCTGGGTCATGCTGGGACTTTCCTCCCCATCATGTAGGCATCTTCTTTGCCTCTCTTCTGTTTCCTGCATCCTTCTCCCCTGCATTTACTTGGTTTACTACCTCATCAGGATGGAGCACATCCTCCAGTAACTTTCTGAAAGACGGTGTGTGGCAGGTGAAGTTCTCTGAGATCCTACATATTTGCAAATGTCTTTACTCTCACCTTGCACTTGGTTGACTTGGTCTGCCTGCTGGAAATCATTTACCTTCAGAGTTTTGAGACCAATATTCTGTTGTCTTCTAGTGCCCATGGTTGCTGCTGAGGTTAGTGTTGTTCTCATTGTGATCCCACATAGGAACCCAGGGACCTTCTCTTCCCCTCTAGCTTATGAGCATCCATTATGGTGATTCACAGCAGGGACTGTTTTCCTCTACTGTGCTGAGCACTTGCTTGGTTAGCCCTTTCACTTGGGGAACCCCCTCTTTAAATTCTGGGATGCCTTTTTGTATTATTACTTTAATTAATCCCCCCACCCCATTTTCTCTCTTCTCTTTTGCTTGTATTCACTCCATTTGACTGGATGCTGGACTTCTATGTTTTATTTCTTTTGTTGTTTTTCCTTTTTCCCCAGTTGATTTATTCCTCTTCATCTTTTAAACTGCTTATTGAATTTTATTTTTTGAGTCAGTGTCTCACTCTGTTGCCTGGGCTGGAATGCAGTTTGGCATGATCACAGTCTTGACCTTCTGGGCTCAGGTGATCCTTCTGCCTCAGCCTCCTTAGTAGCTGGGACTACAGGTACGTGCTATCACATCTGGCTAATTTAAAATTTTTTTTTTTAGAGATGAGGTCTCACTATGTTGTTCAGGCTGTTCTCAAACTCCTGGGCTTGAGCAATATTCCAGCCTCCGTTTCCCAAGGTGCTGAGATTACATGCGTGAACCACCATGCCCGACCTGTCTACTGAATTTTGAAAATTGGTCTATCATATATTAAATTTAAAGGGCCCTTTTGTATATGCCCTGAATGTTTTGGTTTTTGGTGAGATTATTGTTGTTGAAATAGTGAAAAGAGTTTCATTCAACCCTGTTTCAACCTCCTGCATAGCCCCTGGTTTTGTGCTGCCTGGGATCCTTGAATCATTCTGGTTTGGTTTCTCGAGAGAAACTGTCTCCTTGGGGGAACTGGGGGATTCAACTACTCTGAAAACAGCCTTTCAACCCTCTTTCCTATTGACAGCCTCAGCCTCACTTTCACTGAACCCTCAGTCTCCGAACTTTCTGAGTTGTGAAGTGCCGGAGGTCTTGTTTCCTGTTGGTTTCTCCACGAGCAGGTGGAAGGTTCCAGCATTCTCTCCTGTGTTCATCGCTGTTTTCCCGCTGCTTGCTTCTTCCACGTTCTGCTCCTTCTCCTCTCCCATTCTGTTGACCTTAGGTAGGCTTGGGGAAAAGGGGGTGGGATGTGTGTCTAGAATTTTCTTTTATTCCTTTACTAACATTTAAATGGAGTTTGGGGTGACAGTGGAGAAAACCTGTAGATTCCATCTGCCATGTTTGACTGGAAGGACCTCATTCATTTTAGTGGCTGCATGGTATTCTATTTTAGGCTATATCAGAAATTCTTAATCTGTTTTTATTGTTGGGAATCTAGGTTAGTTTCACCTTTTGCTGCTAGAAACCCTGCTGCAGAGCATGGTTGACATGCATTCCCATTCATATTTGGAAATTTATCTGTAGGGCACATTCCTAAAAGTTGTACTATTTGGTAACTGTTGCACTAACATGGGTGATATTATTAGTCTTTCAGTTTTTCCCTATTGAACATGTAAGAAAGGGGGTCTTATTTTAATTTATTTTTATAAATTCTTTATGAGTGAAATTGAGCATATTTTCCTATGTTTATGGTCATGTGTGTTTCCTGTGCTGTAAATTTCTTATTAATAGATTGTGCCTATTTTTCTATGGAGTTATTTGTCCTTTTTTTAGTAAGTGTTCTCTGTATATTAAGATGTTAATCCTTGATCAGATGTTTTGCAGATATTGCTCATGCATTGTTGTATGTCTTTTGACCTTATGGGTGGTTTTTTGAGTGGATTTTCTGTCACTCAGAACATTTAAAATGCCACTAGTCAGGTTTAGCAGGCTTCTCTTTAATGTCATTATCACATCAAGTCTGGCTCAGAAAGGCTTTTCCCATGCCAAGGTTATTTTTTAAATCACCTATTTTTCCTCTAATGCATTTAGGATTTGTTTTTCACATAAAAATCTTGGACTTATTTGGAATGTATCTTGTTACAAGGCCTGAGAAAGGGACCTAGTGTTCTTGTTTTCTGCATGGCCAGCCAGTTGTCCTAAGGCCATTGCTGCATAGTAGGTCTGACTCTTTCCATCCTGATCATCATCTAAACCATGCATAATTGGGTCTCTTTCTGAATTATCTCTTTTGTCCCCTTGATCTACTTGCCATTCCCCTGTCTCTTCCCTCCTATTTAATTACTATAGCTTTAGAGTGTGGTTGAATATCTGAAAGGCTAGTCTCCGCGCTCACAAACCTTTTCCTTTAAGAATTTATAAGCCCTCCTAGAGATTAATTTTCTTATTATAGTTCTTTCAACTTATGGATGGTTATCTTCAGATGGAGACTCTCAGTTCTGGGTCAAGTTGACATTGTCAGTGTCCCCACCCTTTCTCCAGGTGGTCTTATTTTCCCTCTGCAGGGGATGTCTTGCCAAACACTGCCTGTTGGTTTAGACTTTTGTCTGTTCTCAACACACTGGGTGCCTGGTCCACTATCAGAGGGAGAGAGGACCAGCTAGAAGCCCTAACTTCACCTGCATGCAACCTCCACTTGTACCCCACATTTCTTTTTTAAAAAAAAGACTTTTTCCTCACTGTAGTTGGTTCAGCCTGAGTACCAGTGCCTTTGGGTTCTACATTGAATTGCTGTGTGGTTTCATCAAACAATCCTCAAAAAACCTCAGACAGCTCAGGGAAGAGGTAGGATGGGGAGGGACTGCTAGTGAGTATGAGGTTTCTTTCAGCATGGTGACAATATTCTGAAATCAGGTAGTGGTGATGGTTGCACAACTCTGTGAATACAAGTTTACTAAAACCCACACAACTGTATGCTATAAAAGGTCAAATTTTATCTTGGACTTACATGAAATCTATTTTGTTACAAGTCATGTGACAGGGTCCTAATATAAAAGACTGAATTTTATCTTTGACTTATATGGATTTAATTTTTTACAAGTTGTGTGACAAGGTCCTAATATAAAAGGGTAAATTTTACAGGATATGAATTATGTCATAAAATGAAACCAAAACCAAGCCCCATATATCACCAGATTTATTCAGTGAAGTAGAAAGGATTCTTGGAGCTAAACTAAGGATATTTCTTAGGCAAAAAGGTTAGCTCTGAACTTCTTGGCAGTCAAGACAGAAAGAGGAAACCCAAAGACTTTCAGAGATCCTGAAGGAAGCACACCATTTGCAGGAGGGATGGATTTTTTCTGACACTGAGTTAGCGAATAGTAGTTTTGCAAAAGATGAGAAGACATTTTCTAGTCTTATTGTGAACATTTAGGAAGTCATTTTCCAACTTTTCTTTCCCTCTGGTCCTCAGGGTGATCTGGGTCTGCAGGTGTTTTCAGGAGGTGCCCTCTGTCCAGGTGGGGCAGCCACTGCCGGGTCAGGATCCTGGGTTGGCTTTATACATGCTCTTGGACTGAGAAGCTATTTTGATGTGTCTGTT